GGGGGGGGGGGGGGGGGCTAGGCTTCCAGTTGAGGAGAATTTGAGGGGGTTCTGCTTCCTGTATGACTCAGGGTTGCGAGTTTGTTGTTTTGGAGTTTTAGGGTGCCGGGGCTAGGATTCAGATTCTTCCGAGCGTTTGGTGTACGTTGCGGCTTGGGTTTTGTGGCTGTTGGTCTTGAAGTCCTGCCAGGGAAAAATACCGTTGTTACAGCTCCCTCCTCTGAACCCCTCCTACTTTCTACCTTCAACGTGTGCTTGGATGTTGAGGTTGCTTGAGAGGCTATCTTCCGACAGCTAGGGTTGCAGGAGATGTCCATATGCTCTAGAAAGCCGCCAGGCAACTTAGGAGGGTCAGGGTTCAGGGTTTAGGGTCCCAGACCTTCCCAAAATCCCTGGATTAAAGAATATATATATATACCCTCACAGCGACACACACTCTATATTTATATTTCTATTTATAATATTTATAATAATAATAATAAGAATAATAAGAATAATAATAATAATATGTATATATATATATATATCCACCTTACTTAAACCAGATTAGGGGTCCCCACTAAAATTCAAGGTATATCCCCTTTAAGAAAAGGGATCTTGGACTGTCTGGGGTCTCTTTGGGTTTAGAGCTTCGGACTTTGAGGGCTTAGGATTTCAGATTGACCCAGGGCTCCTTGACGGGGATCCGCCTCCCAGGGGTTTAAGGGTTTAGTTTAGGGTTTATGGGTTTAGGGGTTTAGGGTTTAGGGCTGTGGGCTGGCTAGCATCACAGCTGAGACTGCTGTAGGGCATGGAGAGTCTAGTCAAAGCAGGCTTTTCAGCAATCCTGCTCAATTCGCAGTGTAAAGTGTCCGTAGGGTTTCTTCGTGCCTCTCAAGCTTCTTTCCACTGCGCAAAAATAATCTTATGAACCCTCGCCCCACTGCAATTTTGCTCCAGAGACAAAAACAGACACAGACACAGACACAGACACAGACACAGACACAGACACACACAGACACATACACACACGCCTCAGAATCGCCCACTCCGTTCTCAAATGTAGAGTCAGGTACCAAACCTCACAGCCCAAATCCTGCAACGTTTGGGTTTTTGGCCGATACAGGGCAAGTTTCCCTTATAGAGTATATTCGATGTATCACGGAGCCGGTAAGTCCGCTAGACTCTATATCTTGATCTCTGAACCCGCAGATCCCTGTTAACGATCCTTCAACCCTTAACCCAAACCCTTCCAGGACTTTTATAAAGAACCTTCCTTTGTATATGTCCTGCAAGAGGTAGGTTGTTTTGGGTCCAGGTAAACCCAAAGATAATTAAACACAGATTTCTCAGGAAGCTTCCTGACCCTAAACCCTAAACCCTTGGACCCTAAACCCCCAAACCCGCAAGGAGCCATCGACTTGTCCGAAGTCTTCGAGCATCTTTGATGTATTCGAGGAAAAACCTCCTTGGGGGTTCTTGGGGTCAGAGAAGTTTTAGGCATTTAGGGTCATTTTTGGGCACCAGGGTTTAGAGTTTGGGGTTTAGGGGTCAGGGCTTTTGAGATTTACGGTTTCAGGGTTTTGGGGCCCTAAACCCTAAACCCCTAAACCAGGCATCTCGGCCCCGACCTGCAGAATACGCAGATCCGCAGACCGACCCTAGCACGGCTTGGCGTAAGCAAGCCCGCGATTCTGAGCAGGAGAGCTTCTTTTGACTGCTCTGGTGAGCTAGTACTACTCTTATCTTGGGTTTGAGCTAGGGGTCAGTGTGCGTGCTTCAATCTTAGCGGCCTGCGCCTTGCAGACGCCAGTCTTATAGTCTTTTGTTTATAATTATAAACTTGAACTCAACCCCGAAACCTCAGAACGAAGGTACCCTGTCCCCGCCTCTTTCGGGTCTCCGTACCGTCGGGGACTACGGATTTAAGTTGGCGGTTCAGGCACCTCATTTCCCCTCGACCTGAAGTTTTGCAAAGAGCATATACTCCCAGAAGGGCCTGCATCGACAGTTTTAAGTCATGTTGAAGGCTTTGGGTGCCGGCTTGGGCTCATAGGGTCTTAGGGTTTGGGGTGTAGGGGCTTAGCTTGTGTTCATGCTTCCGGCTTCGGATTCATGTAGAGACTCCGTGGGCATGCCGCAGAAGGGGGTTCATGGTTCAGGGGCTTTGGCTTCGCGGCAACGCGCTTCGGTGACATCTTCACATGTCGCACATGAGGGTGTCTGCAGCTGAACGACCGGATACCCTAGGTTCACACGCATGGCATGCCTGCTGAAACTGCACCGCCTAGCTCCAGACTCCCGTGCCCGCGCTATGGCAATCTTTTGATTATCATCAACAGTTCCCTCTACAAGTGGCCTGGAAGCTCCGGTGTGGTTCTTACGACCCCTGACATGTGAAAGAGCCACTGCAGGTCACCGATATCCCGAGGGAGATACACTGATACAACTGAACTGTCGACTCAACTTTTTCGAAGCAAAGAGCACCTTCAAACCTCAGGAACTGGCAGGACTTTGCGGACGATTTGGGCCTGAAGCCACTGGAGCGGAAGCGAATAGAGAGGCTTGGAGGATGTTTTGGTGTATGGGTCGGGGCGAGACATTCATGGCAAGGGTAATCGGAACTCTGAGTGGCCATGCATCTGGCATGGCCGGCCATCGTATGGTCGAGTGCGGAGTTGAGGTTGCAGGGCCAAGGCCGCCGCACTTTCGGACAAATAGGACCAAATAGGACTTCTCACGGCACACCCTCATGAATATTTATTACAGAAAAGATCTTGTTGCCAGATACCTAAACCCTAAACCCCTAAACCTTAGAGGCTTCAAGCGACTTTGCTGGTAGGATTTCCAGGGCTTCGGGCTTCGGTGATGGGCTGGTTTTGGGAAGGGGAGTGTGGCTTCTGACAGGTTCGTGCAGAGGCACCAAGGCGCCAAGGCCCCCTAAGCCCCAATCCGGACCCTAAACCCCCCTACACCCTAAATTTAAATCCCCCCCAAATCCCGGAACCCGAAGCACTAAGTACTCATCGCCAAGGAAGTATGTGGGAAATGCCCTTCGCCCAATGCAAACTCGCGGCAAGCTCAGCAAGCTCTCCCAAGAGATCATGGAGCCTCAGCACTGCGCCTTTTAGGGTTTAGGGTCCAACTCTCTCGATCCATGCCAGCGAGCTGTAATTTGTGTAGAGTTGTTTAGAGTTCAAGTAAAGGGCTTCTGGCCCCCCAAAAAAAGAGTTGAGGGTGTATGGCGGTTAGATAAGTGGGCCCTTCTGGGGCCGTTTCCGTGTTTTCAGGGGTTTAGGGTTTAGGCATTTTGACAAGGAGTGGATGCAAGAGCTGCACTTGGCACACCACTCCGAAGCCTTGCTGGAGTGGTCAGAAGAGAGCCTGGGATCCCCAGTACCCTTTTTTGCCCTTTTTTCCTACTGGGTTCTCTTATTGAAACCAAACGGTAGGGAAAAGGGTGCCCTTATTGTTAAGCGGCTACTGGAGAACCCAGGAACGGAGCATCATCCATGGACGAAATTCGGGCGAACTGGCGCAGCTTCGTGGAGAAAATGGATCTAAAGCCCCTGGAGCGAACTCGTCTTGCAACTCGGCAGACTTGATTCACATCTGGGTAGTTCTCTAAATTAGGGTTCCAATGTAGGAACCCAAAACAAGGCGGCACACTTATGAAAAGGACCTTAACAGGGACCCTAATCTAGAGAACTACCCACTTGTTCATGGAGGGCCACCTCGGGGTGTGGGGAGGGTAACGGCCTGGTAGAACAGATCTCGCCGATGTTTTGGTTATACTGGACCTATCTGATCAGGAGAAGGATTTGCGCACGAGGACAGGCAAGGCCACGCAGCCGCAAACCACGGCGGGCTCATCGATTCCGGCGCTGCAAGTTTCGAAGTCCTCTGTGCAAGATTTTCAACCTGCAATGCGGACCAGGCAGATGTCTTCTAAGCATTCGTGGCAACGTGTTACGCGAGACAGTTTTCAACCATGGCGACTTCATATGCTCCCACTTGGCTGTAGGCCTTCAACTTAACGCTAAGATGGCCTCCTAGGGATCTCGATATAACAGAGACGCTTGGCAAAGAATAGCATGATCTGCATCTGAAAGCTCGGGTAGGCCCTGTGCGCCCGTGCATCTGGAGGCCATCAGAGACATGCTTCGGACCTCCAGAGAACCCCCTCTTGTACACTTTGTTGGAGGAGAAGCTGAGCTGCACAAAGCTGAGGAATATCAGGGTTGAAGATTTGCGCAGCAGATGATATGCACGGCAACGCTTCCATACACGCAAACAGGTGTACGAACAAAAACTTAACATACGTATTTATCGGCACATGCTCTTTACCAACACACATATACACATGTGTATGTGTATATGTATATATATATACATACATACATACATACATACATACATATACACGCATACCTAATGTGTCCGTATATAAAATATGTACAGACAGACATTTTTACACGTACATGTATGTGCCTGTAGTCGCTCGCATCTGTTCTGAGAGCAATTTTGGTGGAGCTTTCTTGAATCAACCTTATTGCAATAGGGTTTTGGGATCCCTTATTGTACATTCATAGTGAGGAACCGTAAGGAATAATATTGGTAATTATTTAGGCAGCGTATTCGAAGGCCAGGTTCAAGACCAAGACTGCTCTGTTTGGTGAAGAGCTTATACTTGGTCATTCTACCAATCTTTGCCTGACCCTAAGCCCTAAACCGGAACTGTAGGATCTAACAGGTACATTCGATGAAGCCCATAATTCGTTTAGAGCTGCATTCCCCCTCTGACCAGGATCGGTTTTGGAGTCACCTCGAAGGTGTACAAGTGCAAGCGTGGACAGGCCTCATATGATGGCTTCCGAAAATCAGGGTCTCTTTCTGCGCATGTTGGCTTTAATCTGGTTTTGTCTGGCAAGCCCCATTCTGACCCCTTATAAACCCTAAACCCTAAAACCCTGAACCCTAAACTTTGACCGGCAAGTTAAAATCCTGAGCCCCATGCCTAGCCCTCACCCCCGAATCCCTCAACCGAATGTCACATTCCTAAGATATTGAGTGTTGGAATGGCTTTATGACGGCAGACTCCCGAGTCTGCCTTGCTAAACATGAGGCTCGTTCCCACTGTTCTTCTTTGCCTTGACCAGGACTATCGATGAACATCCGAACGCTTGGAACCAAACGCCATTGAAGGCCCACTCCCGCACACCGAAGCCCCGAAAGTTTGCGTGCACACTGGCCTAGCCACTGTCACCCTTACCGTACTCTGCACCCACTTGACCTTCAACGGTTTAGCCAGTTACCTAAATAGTAGGTTACTGGGGTACATAATATATGGCTAGTAACCCACTATTTAGGTAAATGGAGCCCTAGGGTACATTAATCTCGTTGGAACCCTAAACTCATCGCAAAGAGGAGATCTTTGCGGTAAAGGCAATAAGCCTGAAGAAACTGCGTCATCAACCGGGCTCCTTGGAAGCAGGGTTAGGGGTCCCTGGCTGTTAGGAGATGTAGGGCTTCGGGTTTAGGCTTTACGGCCTCATGTAGGCTGTAAGGCCCCGGCTCGAGATTTATAGGGCTTGGGGTTGCAAGTAATCGAACAACTACGGATGTTAGTAGTTCAGTCTGGAGCCTGAGCCCTGGACGCTGAACCCTAAAATCCTAAAGCTTGTGGCTCGGAGGCTTTGAGGAAGGCGTACTCATGCCATGTTCTTGGAGCTCTAACCTTGCGGCTGTCGATTCTGAGAGATGGTTCTGGAGTTTATCATCACGAGCTATCATATGTTATAATGAATAATAATATGATAATATGATGTAACGAAATATAGCAAAATGCAACACAATATAACACGGTACCATGGGATATAATACAATATAATATAACACAATATAATGGGATGTAATACGATTATAATAGACATATTATATAATCGAATAGAATAGAATTTAGCTTCATATGATGCATTTCAATATAAAATAATATAGCACAATATAGCGGGACAGAATACAATGTAATGGAATATAGTTTAATATAAGATAGTCCAAATAACACAATACAATGTGATATAACAAATTAGAATATATGATTGTATAATTCAATCATTATATGTATATATATATATATACATATATATATAATATAACAATAGTAATAATAATAATAAAATTTAATACTATCTGAGATCATATAACACAATGTACTACAATATTCGGAATGGAAGCTAACGTAATGTAATGTAATATAATGTAAGGTAAGGTAAGGTAAGGTAAGGTAAGGTAAGGTAAGGTAAGGTAAGGTAGGGTGATGTAATGTAATGTAATACAATATGCAATGTAATGTAATGTGTTAATGTAAAGTCATGTAACATAAAGTAGAGTAACATAGTATAACACTGTATACCATAAAATCAACAAGCATAGTATACTATTCCAAAAACTTACGGTAAGGGTGAGCAAGAGCCTTATGGGTCTTGCAGCTTTTCTTCGAAGCTGCCCGAGGGTGGGTGACGCATCGCCACATATCATTTACAGGATTTTGTGCAGGGTTTGGCGGCTCCCAAACCCATGAACTTGGCGAAGCCCGAAGCCAAAAACAAAATGCCCTTAGTGGATTAAAATAAGGGTTTGGGGCGTAGAGTCACTGCCTTGTGTAATTTTGGGGGGCATCATTGTTTGCGGGGAGGCCCCAAATTCTAAATGCTAAAAGCTACGTATTTCTCTTTCCTACAAGATCGGGCCCAAGAGATCGCGGGAAGATTGGTGGCCCGGGATCCTTCTGGCGGTTTACGGGCCTGCGTAATTTGAATACGGCGTGGGAGTACACACTATACTCTCATTGTCTAGGGACTATGACTATGAAGGAATATTATGACTACGTACTCAGACTCCTGTATTGCCCCATATTCCGAGGGCACGCGAATGCTGAAGGCAGGGCGGCAAGATACTGGATTCCGCCCGAGGTTTGTGTTCGATGATCTTGTACAAGAGCTCAAAACCGCAATTCCTGCATCCTAAACCCCATAACCCGCTAAGCCCGGAATGCCGTGATCCCAGCAACAGTCGAGGCTTCTCGCGAGTCTCCGACAGGCAAAGATTCATGGCACCTAGAAAGAGCTGTTTCGTATTCGGAGTTTACGAGGTGTTTTCCCCATGCCCGGACCACTGCTGAGCCTCCGTGGCTGTACTGACTGTACTGAGGAGTGAGTTTGGTCGGTTGGGGTTTGGTGAACTTTGTCGTGGGGCTTTGTTTATATGTTGGCTCATGGTGTGGAGCTCCATGTAGTGTCCCGGCTTTTTCTGAGCATGGCAGAACGCATGGGGTTTCTCAGCTTGGCAGATCCCTAAACCCTGAACCCTACACACTAAACCCTCAGGTTATCTATTGAAGTCTGCAACACCACTGAGACCTGTGACCGGATGCAGGTTCTTCCGGTGTAGTAGGGGGTAATCATCCTGCATTCCGAGAGAGCTCAGGACCCCTTTCCATCTTGGAATTCCGACCGAGAGAACCCAATACTTTTTTTAAGAATAAACCTTAACTCCTAAAAATCAGGCCCCTGTGATTTAAGGTATATTCCTTAATTAAGGGGCATTGGGTTCTCTGGGGAAGACAGAAACTGCGAAGTTCTTGTTGCATGCCTGGCCGTCCTTTTCGATGCAACGGCGTCAGGCTGCATCAGGAGATTGAAATTCTCCTATCGTTGAAGCACGAGCGTGTCGTGAAGCTGGTGGATGTTGCCGACGCCTCAGTACGACGGCAGTACGGGCTCTTCCCGACAAACATGGCTGCCCATGCCCGACAAACATGGCTGCCCATGCCTTCCATGTGCTCTCGTTTATCAGTTTATCATCCGTCGTCGCGGCTGACAAGAGGCTGGAGCCCTTCCCAGGGAAGGAGAGACAAAGAGGGACGGAGAGAGACAGAGTGTCGACAGAGTGTCAGAGAGAGAGAAATTCACAACAAGTTGTCCGGCCACAGTCAAGCGTTGTCCGGCTAGTCATTAGTCACTCAGGCACTAGCAGCCCACTCATGACTCGATTTCATTGTTGCTTCCTTTGCACACCTCTGGTTTTCAGGTTAAACATGCCCTGACCGGGTGGCTTTTACTGTCATATAAACCCGAACCCGAAGTCGCTGAAGCTAAAACCGTGAGCACATGAGGTCGAAGAGTTCGACTACCTGTATCTGATTATGGAGCTGGTCTCTGGCGGCGAACTGGGCGAGTGGATTGTTAAGAAGGGCTCTTTCCCTGAAAACATGGCTCGACACGTCTTCGTGCAACTGGTGGAAGGGTCCCCGGGCGGCATGGGTGTAGCCGGCTCAGGGTCGAGGGTTTAGGGTTTAGGGACGAGGAAGCTTTTTGGGCATATTGCAAGTATCGCAGCAGCGTCTCCGATTCCGAATCACTATACTGACGTAGAGGAATAGCGAGATAGAAGATTTAGGCGTGGAGCTCTTCCTTACTTGGTGTTCCGCGGGACTCGGTAAAGAAGCCCGGCATATGTGAGTATCACTGAGCTTGCTTTGCAAAGGAGCTTAACTTCGCAGCCGAGGCGTTAAACTGCAGTCTTTTTTTGAATCGTTAACACCATTGATTGAAGCTGAAACACGGTGTGTTTGGCTTGTTGGCTCGGCAATTAAGTCAAAGTTGCATCAGGACCCCCGATTGGACAGAGTTGCAGCGCCCGCGAAGAGAAATGTTTGGCTGCACGATGTAGTGTGTTTGGGGTTCGGTTCTGAAAAGTGTTGATCTAGCAGTTGTGCCCGAAATCCTAAACCCCAAACCTTAGAAGATCTAGACCGTGTTTGACAGATTCTTTGCTTAACACACGGCCTGCATGATTACTATAACTATAAGCTTATTGTCGTCTATGCCCCCCCCCCACCAGTGTATTGGTACGCTAAGCCCCCACGCCACAAATTGCATGTACCTCGAACCTAGACTCTTTAAAGCCGTATTCTGCAAGCATATTCGAAAACACTGCAACCCGAATCCTGAAAAGATAGGCCCCAAAACCCTGGGGTGCTCCGGTGACGGACAAGCTCCTGTATCGTGGGGTTTCACGCAGTCCGGCATACCTGGGATCCCTCCTGCCTGCTTCGTGCGGCAACGGTTTAAGGTTTGGGGTTTAGGGTCCACCGAAAGTCCCGGCCAAGGCTTTCCTACATCCATTCGAAAGGCATCATCCATCGCGACCTGAAGCCAGCCTCAGGGCTCAATTAGGTGGCACTTTGAGAAACTTGCTATTTTCCCGTTATGGCTCATATAGAGGCACCTAGTGAAGTCGTAAATACTTTTAATGGCCCCATAACTACAACCCAGTTAATTCAAGTTAGCAGGGCTTGGGGAGTTTAGGGTTTGGGGCTTTCGGGCTTTTCGGGTTCAGGGCTTAGCTGGATCGCCCTAAGCCATTGCCTGAGACCGTCCAAATCCGAGCAGTCTGGCATCATGTTTACACAGGTGTAGGTCATGTGTGCTTAGATTGCTTAGATGCTGCTGAAACCTCACTACGAAAACCATGGCTTGTACTAGCGAAGTTATTCTCAGCATACATAGCTTTGTACTGGAGATTCAACACGAGGTTTCTCAGTTAGGTTTCTACACTACGGAGTTTCTGCGTCTTTTGCACTCTTGATTTGGATTCTAAAGTTTTTGGGTTGTAGAAGTACAGGTTTCAGGAGCAGGCTCGCCCAACAGGGTTCAGGTTTTAGGTTCTAGGACTCTAAGATCAGGACAACGTCTTGGTCGATGCTACGTGGCTGCAATGTCTGTTCGAGATTCCGAAGCTTCCTGTGCATTTCTTCAGTCTGCCTCATATGCTTTGCTTCGCCTGGGGCAATCCCTGCAATCTACAACCTTCTTGGGCTGTACCCATAGGCTCCTTAGTAGTTCCTTTTTGGGATTACCTTATAGGATTCTAAATATGAACCATAAGAAGGAACTACTTAGGAGCCTTTGGGTATATAGTTCCTTGAACAACGTGAAACACAGACATCCCTAGGGCTCTACAGAACGAGTTATTTTTTCGCGAAGGACCCTAGCTATCGAGCAGCACAATGTTCAAAGCAAGTTGCCACACCTGCAACGATGAATGGGTGTCGATGTAGCAGACTGACAGTAACATTTGATAATGACCGTCAGCAACAGACTCTTGTAGACTCTGTGGCGGCTGCAGCACATGCTTACATTTCCTCCCGAACTTCCCGAACCAAAGAGCTAGAAGCCACCAAGCTTAACAAGCAAGCAAGAAGTGAAAGGTTAAAACTGAACCCCGTTCCATTCTGTATTGGCTCCCTGCAACCATCTCGTCTTTTTCGCGGCCATGGACTCAAAGTAGCCTCCCTAAACCGTAAACCCTTGTTCTCCACCCGTCGCAAACTAAGCTGTCGGAAGACCTACGAAGCAACACAACCACAAGCGACTCCCGGGACCCAAACCGTTTTTTGGCTGGGTTCTTGTTGTTTTATTTCAGTTGCCACAATTTGGGTCTATAGTAAATTATATGGTTTCCTTATTATGGCAACTTAAATTAAATTCCTTAATAAGAGCCCTTAGGGCCCAGAGTTTAGTTCTGTCGTCTTCAGGCTTGTTGCAAGTACTGTAAGTTTGACAGCCTTACGTGTGAGCAACTATGGATTGCAGTCGGCGCATGGCCGCACCGGTACTAGCGAGTAGCGGTGCAGCATCACAGCTGCCAGCAATAAAGACGAGAGCTGTTCTGACATCAAAACATACTTGGAATGATGGGGACTTTCGGTATGCAAGTTCATACGGCGCATGGGACCGAGAATTGCGATACGTGGCACCTCGGCTGTACTATCCGTAACCACCTGGTCACACATGTCGCTTCTGAGTTCTAACAGTAGCCGTGAGTAGCAGGAGTAGTAGCTGCTGCATCAGTGGCAGAACGAGTCGTAGTGGCTGGAATACTCTTGCAGCAGAAGTTCAGAAGCAGCAGCAGGAGAAAAATTAGTAGGAGGAGGAGGAGTTGGAAGAGGACGCGGAGGAGGAGGAGGAGTAGTATTATCGGCTTCGTGAGATGAAGATGGGTTTGTGAGATGCGCACCGGAACAGCCCCAACCACCTAAGCCTTAAACCCTGCCACCTGTCAGCACTGCCAGACTCAGGAAGGCGCATCGAAGCTGGAGCACTTGGACGCTGGTCAGAATACCCTACACCCTACAGGGTTTAAGGCTTTAGGGTTCAGCAGCTCCGGATCGAGCAGTCTCTAGTCAAGCTCGGTATTCTGATGCTAGAAAAATACCTACCAACCCAGGAACCCTCAACATTGAGAAACCACATGTTTTCATCAATCCTAGAGCTTAAGTCCTAAACCCTGGCCCGAAAACCTACATCCTGGATTCTAGAGCTTAAACTTCACACCCAAATCGGCGAATTGCGGCAGCCCTTTAGTCCTATGATACAACCCCAGCACATCCCTTAAACCCCATGATACGAACCCTTGGCCTTGAACCCTAAACCCTGAACCCGAGGCCCTGAACCTTAAACCCTGAACCCTAAACCCTGAACCTGAAACCTGAACCCTGGGCCTTGAACGCTAAACCCTGAACCATCCTGAACCCGAAAAACATATTCAACGAAGAAAAAGCCATATTCAACGAAGGGACGGCCTTTGTTGAATATGGTTTTGTCTTCGTTGAATTTTGCGATTTCTTCGTTGAACTTGGCCCAGAAACACGTCATATTCATCGAAGAAAAATCAGATTCAACGAATGGGCAGGCCTTCGTTGAATATGACTTGTTCTTCGTGGAGCTTGGCCAAGAAAAACGTCATATTCAACGAAGAAAAATCATATTCAACGAAGGCCGTCCCATTCGTTGAATATGATCTTTTCTTCGTTGAATATGACTTTTCTTCGTTGACTTTGATTACGAAACACAAGAAAGGTCATATTCAACGAAATAGTTAATTTTTTAAATACATATGATACAGAGTGTTTTGGGGTAGAACGCCGAAACATCATCCCGAAAGCTCATCCGTGGCACAGTGCCGTCATCCAAGGATTCAGGGTCTCAGTGGTGTTGACACGCGACACTTTACCTGCTTCCGATGGCAACAGCCCTAAACCCCAAACACCGCAACCTCGGATTTGGTTTAGCTGATGTAGGAGTTTGGGTGCCTTCTGGCGTGGAAAGTGACGGATGGAAGGATATGGATCTTCTTCTGGCGTGACTAGGGATTATGTCTCACATGCTCTTTGTACTTTAGGTGTGTTTGTTTTCCAGAGTTGTTCCTTCCGTCTGTGCTGTTTCCTCTCGTGTTCTGACTTCTGCTGGAACCCGTGCCTGCCTTGAGCGCGTGTGCGATTCGAAAACCTCCGGATTCTGCCAGCCCTCAACCAGCCTAGCCCTAAACCCCTATATAATGTAATTGTATATACATACATAAAAGTATATATACATATATACATACATATATATATATACATAATCCCTACACCGTGTCCCCCTTGCATGATCTTGTAGAAGCCCGGTAACGAGGCTCCCTCGGCCTCATGACCTCTGGATTCAAGCAGTGCGCGCGTACACGCACTTGGGGCTGAGGGTTTAGGGTTTAGGGTTTAGGGTGCTGAAGCCCATGAGTTGAATGTCTCGGTTCTACGTACTCGTGCTCGTACTTGTTCAGTGGATTCCTGCTCATTTCCGCGAAACCGAGCACCTGCAACCCATGTATGTCTGAGCCCTACATGCGAAGGCATTAAAGCCTTGGGTCCTAAGCCTCAAGCCGAGATCTAAATATAGATGCCAGGAAGTTGTAAGAGCTTAAACTTCAACAGCAACTCCAACAAAAAACACACCCAAGACTCTTGCCCAGGAGGTGAAGCTATCCGACTTCGGCCATTCCCGTCTTATCAACGACGGCTGCTCTCACTCGCTTTGCTTTCATCTTAAGCCTTCAGAGAACTTAGGCTAGGGATTCGGGTGCGCAGTGCCCGGGGCTTTCAGGATTTAGGGTTTAGGGAGGGTCGAAGTTGTAGGGTTGACAGGCTTCAGAGCCACTACTTATACTTGTTTCCGAGACCTCGTCGAAGCTCTGTAAAGCCTTGTGAAGCATGCTGCTACCTTCTGGTCCTGCTTCGCGTCTTTGTTACGGTAAACTCTAAGCTCCCATCTATCAAGGAAGCTGGGTTCGGTGTTTGCAACATCGGCCTCCTGGAATATGCCTTTGGGGTATTTTTGTCAGGACGATAGTACGGAACTTCAAGGAATTAGTATTGGTAGTTAAGGCAAATATCGATAGTTAAAGTATAAACGTGACACTAGCCACAA